TAACTTTAACTTAATAAACTAAAACTAACAACTACTCTCTCTCTCTTCTCTCTCTCTCTCTCTCTCTCTCTCTCTCTCTCTCACACACACACACACACACACACACACACAGTTAGAAGGAATTTCCTGATGGTAAGTGTCATTAACTCATGGAACAGTCTGCATAGGACAGTGGTGGAATTTCTCTTGGGGGAGGTTTTCCAAAAAGGTGACCTGTTAGGGAGAATTTTAGGGATGATGATGATATTCAAATATAATCAGAAAGAGAAGCAAGGAAAAAATAGAAGAAAAGCAAGTTGTAAATAAAGAGGAGGTTTTCAAGCAGTGGAAATGGGACAAGAAATCATTTTGAAACGACATTGATATAAATCTACATATTAAAATATCTTCAATCAATCTGAAAGTTAAAAGCTATAAATCAGAATTAAAATCAGATTATTGTACAGTTTTAACCACTATGATTTGAATGACAAATTATAAAATGAGCAAAAGAAAAATTACAATAAGTTCTATCTGGTCTGAAAAACCTAAGTGCTATAATCTTATGTTAGGAGAAATCCAGACTTAGGAGGTGGCACGAACCCCTTTGTTAAAATGATCATCCAAAAATGGTTTCCACATCAAGTTAAATTCTCTATCACATTTGTTTTTTTTAAAATATGCAGCTAGTTTTGACATTGATGCATACTCTCATAACTTAATTTGGCTTTCTTTCATAGAAGGAATTATTTGTGCTTTTCAATAAGAAGCATAGAAAATTCTGGCAGGTATTATTATGTTCAAAGCCAGTTCAGTACATTTTGTAGGAATATAAAGTTTAGTAATATTCAGTAAAAAGATAATGGGCTGAAAAAATATCAACCTTTAAAATCTGTTTCATTCTATTAAAATAATATACCATTGATAAAACATCTTACACCAATTTCCTCTAAGTGTAATATTAACTGTAAATTTGATATTTCTCTTCCATTGATATTCCACTCGTTGCCAATCAATTGTACTGTTCAAATTCTGCATCCATTTGATCATAACCATCCTTAACTGATTGACTTTCTGAATTGCACTTCACCAGCAACTTATAAATAAATCTTGCTAAATGATCTGACTTTTGTGTGATAAGGTTTTTGTTTTAATTTGGTTAAATCTCTAACTGTTCCACCTTGTTTCTGTAATTCCTTTAGACTAGTGTTTCTCAGCCTTGGCAACTTTAAGACACGTGGACTTCAACTCCCAGAATTCCCCAGCCAGCAGGCTTTAAGATGTGTGGAATTTGAGTTCATGAATTTCCCAGCCAGCATGCTGGCTGTGGAATTCTGGGAGTTAAAGTCCACATATCTTTAAGTTGCCAAGGTTGAGAAACTGCTTTAGCCTATGCTGCTTATTTCTGGATACTGAAACCAGTGAGGTGGTTCTGGCCATTCTGAAGAGAGAACTTAAAGGACTTCTTTATTTTGTTAACAATTGTTAACAAAGTCTTGCAATCTGTATGGATTATTATCCCTCTACTGGTTAAATTCCAGTAGAAGAGAATCTCTGTAGCTCAGGGTTGAACTGTGGAGTCCTTGGTGCTCTCTGAGCTTGGCTGTTTGCTTGCAGACATTTCATTACCTGAC